AAAGAAAAAGAACACTACGCCGCGACGTTGCGGCCACGGAGAAACAAAGCTGGTCCACTTGCTCAGGTGTCGCTTCGACGCAGCTCTTTATGACAAAAGGACATTCAAAGGAACACTGTGCCGCGGCACTGCGGCCAAGGAGAAAAAGACGATCTTCCACTATTTGACCTATATGTATTTTCTGATCCGGTCTAGTTGCGCCGTGCTCGGCTTCTTGTGTGTGTCCACTCCTGTTTCCAAGGACACTACTCTAGCTATTTCTATTCCTATGACTTTGCGATCCTTGTACAGCACCAGCAGGGGTGCAAGCAGCCCATCCAGTCTTGCACCAACGAAGACACTGGATGTGTGCTGGTGATATCGATTTGGGACGCCAAATCGACGTACCTGCAATTCTCCAATTGTTTGAATCACTTCACTTTCCACGACTTGTTCCAACATTCTGTTCGACCGACCCAGCACTTTCTTTTCAGTCAAGGTCTAATTTGCAGTAAACTGAAAGTGCTAATGCTCACCGCGAATAGCCTGAAGACAAGCTCCACGGAGCAACCTTGTCAAGTGTGTGTGCCACTTCCCTTTCCAAGGGAGCATGACCAGATTGATTGTTTCCACCTCTTAGGAACCTTTGATTCCAACTATGTACAGATCCGCAGGGGGTCGCTCGGGATTCGCGCAGTCAGCGACGAACGAAGACGCTGCACGTTTCCTGCGAAAACGTGCCGTGGGGCACCTGGGCGCTTTGTTAGCCGCAGCTGGTGACAACATTTTTTCCGATCTTTTCTCTCCTTTTCTTTTGTTTGAACTGTTGTCCAAGTGCAAGTTCCTAACACCATTTTCCATAAAGGGCCAACGCGTGATGTTAAACAGTTCGGTTCTGCGGACTCTCTCGCCTTTCTGTTCCCTCAGCCAAGTTCAAATTCCGTGTAAAGGTCTACTTGCAGTAGCCAAGGTCAAGTTCCATGCAAAGGTCTACTTGCAGTAACGCTGGGGTTACCAAACTGATAGAGCTTTTGCGAGCATGGGTCTAAGCGTGTGCCGCAACAGGGTCCCACTGAGGTCTGTTGTGTGATCCCAGCAATGGGCGCTTTTGCACAGGCCCTTAAGGGTGCTCCTTCTTGCTCAACTCGTTCAGCATGCATATCCACTGCTCAGCTGGTTGCTCGGGATTGCAGATGTTATGCCGCAGGGCCCACTGATTCCACCACGGAATGTTATACATCGCATGCTGCTAACTGCTAAGTATTCGTTGTGCAGATTCATTTCGGCTAAGTAGTCATTTCGGCTAAGTATGCACAGTCACAAACGGAGTAATTCATGCACGGTCTTGCTTTCTTTTTTCGTAGGTTTCTCCTTCTAGATGTTTCCTGCGTTGCTAGTGGCTTGTTAGGTTTCATGTTAATTTTCAGTCAAGGGAGCGCCGATTTCGGCTTTTTGGGTGTTTGGCTTTGTGCTTTTTCAATCACCCCCACACGCACCCCCGCACCCCTTTCTTGCATTTTTTTCGTTTGTTCGGTCTTTTCTTCAGGCTTGTTAGATCGCTGTTTAGGCTCGTTCCAGTCGATCCGTGCTCCCGACTTCTTTGCTTTTCTTCCTTCTAGGGGCTTTTTAGGTGTGCCACCAGGTTTCTTTAGTCAAGCGCCTGCCAATTCTGACGCCCACAAGGGGCGCCCACCAAAGGAGTGTGATCGATTGGTGCGCGGCGAAATCCGATCAGGGAGCGCCGATACGGCCAAGTGTGTGTGTGTGTGTGTGTGCGTGTCAACTGTCAACACCTGTCTCTAAGGAATTTAACTTGTGTACAAAGCAGGGGGCACATGTCACAGGCCCATCGTGGATACCTGTGCCAAACCTGTTCCACGATGGAAAAACCGGAGACCGATCACTTCTGCTTTTGGAACTTAGGGGTTCCTGTGATGTAAACAATATTACTGTCCCTGGACTTTTTCTCTCAGGGCTGTTTCTCAGGTTTCAGGCAGCGCTCTATAGTATTGTAATCACTAGAGTGGATTGCCTCTATTGCTCTTGCGAGCCTTTATCTAAGTGTGTCTTGCCACAGAGTCCCACTGTGGGCTGTGGTGTGATCCCCAGCGAGGGGCGCGGCTTTGCGCATGCCCTTAAGGGTGAACCTTCCAGGATCCACGGACTTGCGCTGGAACTTCGTCATTGACTTAGCGTTTTTGCTCGAAAATGATCGAAAATGCTGATTCTATGCCGCAGGGCTCACTGAGAACCACTCCAAAGAATGACGTACCATGCTGCTAGGTAGTCATAGGTTTTAGGACGTGCCGCTAAGTAATCTTTTTTCGGTTCTTTCTTTCCTGCTGTTGCTCTTCGTTTTCTAGGTCTTTTTTCGTTTTCTAGAAGCTTTTTTTGGTGTAAACTGAGGCTTTAGTCAAGTGCGCCGGTCACGACTTCTTGTCAAAAGCCTTCGGGCCTGCAACCCCTTCCCCTGCCCCGCCACACACCCGTCGCACCCTTTCGTTCCTTGCCTTTCGTTTGCCTGGGCTTTCTTTCAGGCTTGTTAGGTCGGCGTTCAGGCTCGTTTAGTCAACGCACGCCTTGCCCACACCCCCGCACCCCCTGCACCCTTTCCTTTCTTTTCTTTCTTTTCTTCCCTCTTTCGTTTGTTTGTTTCTTTCTTTCTTTCCTTCAGGCTTGTTAGGTTGACTTTCAGGCTCGTTTAGTCAACGCACTTTTTTCCCCTCCCCCCTCTCCCGCGAAGCCAAAAAGAGAGTGTGT